AAAAAAAAAAAAAAAAGTTACTCCTTGAATCTTTTTCACCTATTTGCCACCAATTCATCTATATTTTTTCTAATTATCATTAGATAAAATATGCTTAAATACTATCTTTCTTGGAAAATAGTTTAGGAAAATTACATGCTAACTAGGAAGGCACTAATAGAACTTTGTAGTTCGCCTTAGTTGAAGAAATTTTACATAACTACTACCTATTAACTATCACTATAAAAATAATAAAAAATGAGATTTAGATTAGGGTAGGCAAATATATCCTGCAGGAAAAATCTAACCCACCACCTTTTTATAATTAGATAATTAGAAAAAATATAGATGAATGAAAATTAGATAAAATATAGATTATAAGATAATCATATAATTTAGATAATAAAGAACATATTTAGTAAACTTATTTCAAAATATCCACTTGAAAATCACAAATTTATAAATTTAGAAAGGAGATGTTCTTATAAAGGCTTGTAGCCTACAAGGTGGCTGCCCTGCTAAACCGGAAAGCATAGCCTCTGGCAAAGCCCAGAAATGCACACTTTGAAGGAGGTTGGGGTAGAATCTTTATGATGAAACGGTTGGCCAAATATACTTATTCACCAAGTGATAGGAGCTACAACTATTTATGATGGGGCTCCTAATGAATGTTTGAAAAGCAAGCACATAAGTTACATGTAATGTATCCTGTGTTAACATTTAAGTGTATTACAGTTGGGCCCCAGATGTCAAAAGGGGGTGAAGCAACGACACAAAGGCATTCAAGTGCATAGCCTCTGTAAACCAGCTAGAAGCAGTCTACAGCTGATGGTCTCTCATCAGGTCAAATTTACTGAAATCATTCTCTTGTCCATAGTTTGTGGAATAAGGGGGTCAGTCAGCTATGGATGAATTATTACATAATTGTTTTAATACTGCCAATGCTTGTTTAGCTGCTAGAGAAAAAGAAAAACTTTGTGACAATCAGACTATGGTTTATTCAAATGTAAGGGTATGTGAGTAAACCTTTCCCTGGCATGGCCTTACATCTTCTTCATGAAATGGTATCTTACTGACACAAAGAGTACATTTCCTTAGGCTTATGAACTCTATTTTAACATCAGTGCTGGCCAGTTGTTGTGTCTATACTGCAAAAGAGAGAGGAGGTATAATGAGGTGTGTCTGACCTCCCAGCTCATCATGGTCAGGAACTCAGAAGGTTTCTCTGGGGTCATCTTGGCCAAGGAAGTTTTATCTGTTCAGTTAGTCGAGGTATGGAGGAGTTTCAGGATTTTGTTTTTATTTCTCAAGTTAAAGTTTAGTTTGGTAATCTTCAACATACAAGACAGCAGGGCAAAATATAAGAGTTCAAGAGTTAAGTACCCGGATACTAAAATTTTATTAAATCGTACAAATTATAATCATACAAAAGGCAAGTGAGGAGATGGAGAAAAAATTTCCAATTAAGTGTTTGAAGCAATCTGTGTTTTTTCTTCTGAAAAGCCTTCATCTGTCCTTTGTCGTTTAATAGGTGGATCTTCATGATTCTCTGTAACAAATCCAGAAAACCTATTTTAACTAAGATATTCAGCAGTTCAAAATACTTTTATAAAACTAGCAGTATAGGCATTTTTAAGATTTTTAATCTAGTTAAACATGAATATTTTTACAGGTTTACTAGTTAAACATAAATATTTTTATAGGTTTATTATTTTAACAAAATAGGCTTTTGTTAGACTGAACAGTATACCATACTGAAATTTGTAATGTTGGGAGAAACTATTCACAATTGAATGGCAAGAAGTCATGAACCTAAATAACTAAATAATACATATATGTAGCCCAAAGAAAGCTATATGAAAATTTAGTTTACATATGATTCCCCCCAAATTGCTCACCTAGATTCATACTCTGGTTCTTGTAGAGTATAGAAGCAGGAATCTGGAAAGTGATGCACAGCATTTCCTTGTTAGGGGCCACATTTCTTACTGGGTGAACTGAACTACACGCCTCCAAGGACATGCCTAACACAGCTCCAGCTCGCTGCCGAACATCCTCAGCAGGATCAGCATCTTTGGAAAAGCTGTAACAGTGTACTGTGGGAAGGAGCTCACTGCTGCATGGCTGCCCATCTAAAAGGGATTTGAAAGCACTAAGAAACTCTATGGCCTTTGCTGGCAAGTTCATGACAATGTGCACAGAGTGTTTTCTTTCTTTTGACACTCCCAGCTGCTGCATTAACTCTTCTTTGACTGGTCCTTGGAGGAAGTCTTTCCCATCCAAGTTGAAGACTTTCACCTTTCGGTCCACTTTATTTAATTTACAATTGTGCAACAGCCATTTATAGGATTCAGGATTGAGATCATTGGCAAATACAGTGCAGTTTTTCTTTGCTACTGGAATGGCAAAGGGTCCAACACCAGCAAAAACATCAAATAGGACATCCCCAGATTTGAGAAGTTCTGTGATACGGCTATGTTCCGTAGAAAGACGAGGATTCCAATAGACTTTTGAAAAATCAAATTCATAGGTGTAGTTATTTTCTCGAACCTAAAAAAGGTATTATGCTTTCGATTAATCACCTTCCTTGACCCTAAATTCCAGCCAATGATATCGGGGTGTGTGTGCACATGTGAGCACACACATATTGAAATTTACTACTATTAAAAGCAAATAACAGTGCATTTAAAGGCATTTTAATTAGACAACTGGTTTTTATGCTACTTCTGAGGCCACTTAACATCTTACATTAGACTGTTTCACAAGAAAATTCATCTCTTCAAAATTAAATCATTTTCCATTTCAATCCTAAATCACATGAGGAATTTTTCAGATAGGAGAATTAACTGTTATAGTCTCTTACCTCACCAGATAGGAAAAAAAGTCCTATCACTTGAAACAACACACCACATATATCTTGTTGGTGGGAACCTAAGTAGCAGATAACATTTCCACATAGCTAAGAAGTTTCCCTCCTTATTTGCTTTTCAGCTTGTAAAAGGGGGAGGGGGCGCACATGATAGATAATGTCATTGAATTCTGAAGTATTTTACAATGTTTCAAGACAGTTACTTGAACTTTGCAAATTTCATGCCTAAAAGTTAGAGCCAATGTATAGGATGAATCATTGTCATATTTTCCTTTTTTCCCAATGGGTAAACTTAATATATAGCACAAAGTTAAATCTCAAAATTGTGATTTTGTACCATTTCTTTTGGGTCTATCACAGAAAATAAAACTAAAACTGCAGTCATGAAGTATGATCACAGCTATCATCTATGCCCCTTAATTTATGGATGAAGAATCAAAGGCCAGAAAAGTTCCTAAGTTCTATAAATCTCCATCTCTGTTTTCCTAGACCTGAATTCCAAATTAGCACATATTTTTTACCCTCCCAACTGCATCAGGTGCTTCTGGCCATATTAAGGTTCCAGAGTTGGAAATGTTTCTACAAGTTTCCGCCAACTGAAAGTCTTTCCAGGTATAGCCTACAAGGCTTACGTATGTCTTTAGAGCTACTTTATACATACTGCTGTATAACTTCCTTTTTTGTCACTTAACCTGTCATGGGCAATTTATTTTAATACATATGTAAATGAAAAATCTTTTTTTTTTTTTTTTTGAGACAGAGCCTCAAGCTTTCCCCCTGGGTAGAGTGCTGTCGCATCATAGCTCACAGCAACCTCCAACTCCTGGGCTCAAGCGAGTCTCCTGCCTCAGCTTCCCAAGTAGCTGGGACCACAGGCGCCTGCCACAACACCCGGCTGCAGCCGTCATTGTTGTTTTGGCGGGCCAGGGCTGGATTCGAACCCGCCACCTTAGGTGTATATGGCTGGCGCCTTAGCCACTTGAACCACAAGTGCCGAGCTGAAAAAATCTTTAATGATAGAGTACCTCGCTGTATAATTATACCAGAATTTAACTAATTCCATAAGACTCTATGTTATCAATAGCATATGAGTACTCACATCTCACATACTCATCAATACTGATTGTGATAAATATTAATCTTTGTCTTCTATCCTGATTCTAAACACTAATCTTGATATATACCGTATTTGGAGACAATAAAATATACCTTAGTCATCATGTTCTCCTCTCCAGATAGTACTTCCATTTGGAAATTTCGGTATGTATTGTCAATATTATTGATTTTATTTACTGCTGAAGTGATTCCCGGATTTTTGTCAATCATAACTTGGCCTAAAAGAAGAGCTGAAAATTAATAACAAATACTGCCTATTGGTTGCAAAATCCTGGCTAAAAGTGCAAGTGTGAAACAAACAAACGGTATTTTCTTTGGGATATAGGTAAACACTGTACCTTGTGTGTGTGATGTGGCAAGCAATTCTAAAAATTCAACAGATTAGTAAAGTTAATGTCTGAAAGAATCCAATACTCACAAAAAAATGTATGGGTATATTTAAAGAGGAAATTTTGAAGAGTTTGGGTATACCTAATATTTGTGCATGTTTTTCTAAATCTTTTCAAATGTTCCAATACAAGTAAACAGAAAGGTAGACAGACCACAGGGAACTGGGAAAGAAAGGAAAGACAAGGACCCTGGCAGCAAATGGTCTCTCTCAGAAAAGGCAAAACATCTGCCTGCCCCCATTGGCCTCAAACCAAATGTTTGTTTTACTGTGGATTGAAGCACATGCCTTCACTTTGGAAATTTATGCCAATGAAACAATGTTTCCAAATAAAAGAAACAAAGATTCTTTAGAGTGTTATCTAAATAAAATGTCCCTTAATTGTTCTTTTTGTCAAATACTTATCAAAGCAGAAGGGCTACAAAGAAAATACAACAGAAATGACATGTTGATGTCCTTCAATCAGTTTTTGTTAGCACTTAAAAAATTTTTACAAAAATCTATATGCTATTCATTGCATTGAAGATAACTATTTGTACATTAGTATTCAGTCCTACAAATATGCTGAAATACAACCAGAATTTGTCCTAATTCTTTCTGATAATTAGATGCCTAATTTTGAAGATGATAGTATTAATAAGCTGTAGTCAATCATTGCTCTTATCCTGTTCTGTTTCATTTAATTGAACTCAAATTGTAAGGAACAGAAATTAGTTTGAAATAAGGAAAGAAATTAAAAAACTTTTAAAAGCTATCCTGTAGGTCTATGGTGAAAGATTTTAAATTACTGTTGTATGAAAATGTTTTACTTTTAACCTGAGTGCACATTGTTAGAGAGATTATAGGAATGCCCAAGGAATGTTTGAGTTAGGGTAGGCAGAGACTCACAGGCAAGCCTAGACTTGACTTTCACACTAAGTCATAATTATAAGGATCTGTTTAAGTATTTATTATGTTGCCACTAATCTACTATCAGTCCCTTTCATCAATAAAAACAAAGGAAATGCATAACAGCACAGTTCTAAATGAATTCTATCCATGCAAAATACTAAGCACTACATTTAAAGCTGAAAATATAATTACTATATATTAAAAAATAATAATCTGGAGAATTTAGGCTAGGAGCACTAAAAAACAAAGCATGGTGTCTGACATATAGAAGAAGATCAGTTGGTTGAATCAATAAAAACATACAAACAACTTTCATTTTTTTCCCTATACAATAAATTATGAGAGCTAGTACTAAACACTGTTCTGAAAGCCCAGTAAGTCTCGTGTACCAAAAAGAACTGTATTCAATGCAGCTGTCAAAGCAAATGATTCGAGTTTAATCTACACGTAAATATCAGTGTACACAAAAGCCTGGACCAATAGTTCCAGCTTGGTATGACTCTAAGAGGGTTTTGGTTTTCCAAAATGGCCCTCAAAGGAGGGTATGTAGCTCAAGATTCAGCTTAAAGTTATAAATGATAAAAAGTCCTATATCTGTAATTTGGCAATTTAAAACTAAAATTAAAATTTGTAATTTCCTTTCTAGTACGTGAATATTACTATGACTCACCTACCAATTAAATGCTTGAAAGGTAGCTGATGTTCTCGAAGGTTCAAATGTGCAATGTGTCCAACTCTGCTAAATCCTGAAGTCACATCTTGACCTTCAGGAAGCACAGCTTTCAAGATTTCTTCTGACTTAAAGTTTTCATAAGTTAGTTCCAAATTATATTCAGATATCTGAGGTATGACATTAAGCTGTGTTAAAATACTGAGTTCTGCTTTCTCAAAAGGATCATGAGTAAACATTTTACAGGGATCCAACATAATTAGTCTACTTTCTTCATCTTCTGGATCTTCAATCACACGTTTTATGCCTGGGCGCTGCAGTGCCACCCTTTTAAGTGATCGCATCAATTTATTGACTATTTCTTTCTTCACTTTAAGCACTGGAATGGTGACTGTCTTTTTAAAAGCTGTTCTATCAAGCTCTGTCATGCCTCGAACATCAGAGGGGGGTGAAAACAATTCAGAGTCTCTCTCATTTGTTTCTATTTCTGGCATGGTTGAGAATCTTTTTCTTTGATCCAGTAAGGAAATACCAGGTGCTCTCCTAAGCTTCTGTGTCAATGATGTCCAAGCTAGTGGAATCAAAGATTGTAATTCAGTTATGCTACAGCTTTCCACTCTCAGAAGTTGTCTTGAGAATTCAAATGGCTTCCGTAAGAACCTAGAAAAAATACTCATTTAAGAAATATCATAAAGCTACTTACATACTCACAAGGTTTGTGGGAATTTAAATCTACATTCTACTGTTTCAAATACCCTGCTAAATGCATAAAACTTTTAGTGATATTTGGAAAGTATACTGTCTTTTCCAGAATAGGATGGCTTTTATTAGTGGTGGATAATAAATTTGCACCTTCAACTTACCCGGTGCCAGGATAGAGGGTTTCGTGATGCATCAGCCTTCTTACAATAAACGAACCTTTCCACCCAAAATCTACAGAAGGCTGACATTTGAGTTAAAGGTTCATCTCTAAATGAAATAGTCATTTATATGATTAACCAATGGAAATACTTATTAGAATATTCCCATAGGTGCTTATGTTACATGTTGTGCCAAATGCTTTACACACATTATCTATCTTGGGAGATTTGTAATATAGCATCCTTATTTTGTAAATGAGTAAACTAAAGTTTAGAAGTAGGTTCACTCACTCACCGTTTCCTTGGTGGTAAGTGACTGAGCAAAGTCTGCCTGCCTTTTATGTTCTTAGCATACAGCCAAGTAATTAGTCTTTGATGCTTTACTGCCACACGTCCTGCCCTTAAATAGAGGCTTCAGTATTTGGAGAACAACAACTCCACTGAGTTTATGCGCACAGTATTAGGTATTCACTGTTTTCTAAAATACCAAACAAGTAATTGTAATGGGAAAGGGCTCTGCTCCAGAATCCCTTAAAGCAACTAAGTTTAACTTCACAGTTAGGGTTCAAAACGGGTCTAGCAGTTAACCATCTGGGTGACCCTGGGTGGATTACTTAACCTGAGCCTCGGTTTTCTATGTGCAAGATAGGAAAAGGCTCTACCTAGGCCCTAACCGCGACACGTGGACGGGTGGGTGCCCACGACGTCGCTGGGCCCAGGCGGCACGAGCCGGAGAGCACCCCGGGCGGACTGGTACCGCCTCCTCGACCTTCAGCCCCTAGGAACCGCCGAGGGCACCGCGGCCGCCACCTCACCGCTGCACCGTTCCAATTCCTGGCGTCGTCCCGCTGGCTCGGTGGCCAGATCCCTCACCTCATGCTCCGGCACGGCTCCGAAACCAGTCGCAGACCGCGGGGCCGGCTCCGACGACGTCATCAGGGCTCGCCGCGCCGGGAGCGCGCCGGAGCGCGACGCAGCCCTCTGTCTTCCCGCCCCGCCGAGCCACGGGAACCCGGAAAGGCCGGGCAGATGGCTCCGCCTCTGGCGCGACTTACGATGGGATCGCGGGGCAGGGATAGGGGCCAGCAGATGGACCTGGTAGTCAGCAACAGAGCGGCATGGAGACGTCCCGGGGGAGCACCAGCGCGGAGCCGAGCTGGTACGTCTCGGTCCAGCAGCCTGAAGACGCGGAGGCGGAGGCGGAGGCGGGAGAGTTGAGTCCGTTGCTAAGCAACGTAAGTGGGCTGCGTTAGCCGCCGCGCGCTGCCCCCAGGCGCCCAGCCTTTGCCTGCGGGATGCGACCTGGAGAGGGGCGCGGCGCCGGGAGAGCGGAGACGCGGGAGCCCGGCCCCCGGGCCTTGGGGCCCAGAGGCAGCAGCCGAGACTCGGCTGAGGTCGGCGGAGTTGTGAACGTGACAGCAGCCTCACAGGCTCTAGGAAGGTGCAGCTCAGAGAAGGGATGCCGTGCTGGGCGGAGGCTGGACACCTGACGGGGTGAGCACCCCAGGGTGGTGTGACTCACAGCTGTTTCTTAGTATCTTTGTCGCCTTCCTGTTTCCTCTGCCGGTCTTGTGAGGACTTTGCAAGAGTCACAGGATTTTTGTTTTCTTGACTCAGCCATGTAGGTGGTTATAAACATCTTAATCCAGAAATGCTTACCGGTGGAGGTGGCCTAGTAATAAGTGCATAGTGGCCGAGTACAGTGGCTCACGCCTGTAATCCCAGCACTTTGGGAGGCTCAGGCTGGAGGACCGTTTGAAGCCAGGAGTTGGAGATCAGCCTTGGCAACATAGTAAGATCTCTTCTCTACAAAAAATTAAAAATCAGCCATGTGAGGGGGCGCGAGGCTGTAGTCCCAGCTACCCAGGAAGCTGAGGCAGGAGGATCACACAGAATGATCGCTTAAGCCCAGGAGTTCCAGAGTTCAAGGCTGCAGTGAGGTATATGATCCAGTCACTGCACTCCAACCTGGGTGACAGAGCGAGTCCTTGTCTCAAAAAATAAATAAATAAAGTGCATAGCATGCCCCTAACCCTAAAGCCAGTGCTTTTAAGTCAAGTCCTTGGACCGTAACTTTGTCTAGGACTTTGTTCCCTAATGCTATGGGGGCGGGAAGTGTTTTCAGAGATATTCTCGCCAGGCAACGTGAATTTATTTTATTTATTCTACTATCATTGGAAGGTATTCCTGACCATCCTTACAATTGAATAGAATTAATTCATTAAGTATATAAATAGGAATTCATTTCGTAGTCCTAGTAATTGGACAGTTGTTGATCCCAGTCCCAAGCTGACTCAGGGATTTTCCGTAATCACATGAGCAGAGACCATATCCCCACCTCTATGTCCCCACCCCATTTCTGCCTATCTTCATCTCTTGCGGACTCGTGCTTAGTCATGGCTCTTTCTGAAGCCTGCCTGGCCCCTGTACTGGTGGAGATGATTTTTCCAGGAAACTCAAGGTTCCTGGAGCTGCCCTAGTGGGAGGTGGAAAGGAAGGGAAAGGAAACTGCTGATTAAACACCTCGTGTGTCACACAAAGCCTAGTGGTTTGCAGAGTTTTTGCATAACCTTTCAGTGATTTCTTCACAAAATTTGACTTTCACCATCCAAACAAGTAACACTACTAAATTTGTGTACTTACAGGAACTTCACAGACAGGGATCTTCAGGTGTTTCATTTGGTTTCTCAGTGTTTAATTTGATGAACGCCATCATGGGAAGTGGCATCCTTGGCTTAGCATATGTTATGGCTAATACTGGTATCCTTGGATTTAGGTGAGTTTAACATTTTACCATACTTTTTTTTAAAATTTTGATAGCACACTGAGAAACAAAGAGATAGGTTTCAGAAGCTACTGTTATATAATTTCTAGTTAAATTATTTCTGAGATTTTATCAGTAACATTTTTCTTGCTACTATTGTTGCTAGTCTGGAGCTTGGAGGGATACTGCATAGTTTAGATTTTTATCTAAAGTATGGCTAGTTTTTAAAAATGGGGACTTGATCCACATTCTTTTATAATCTTAAGAAATGGCTTATTCACAGCCAGGGATGGTGGCTTGTACTTGTAAACCCAGCTACTTGGGAGGCTCAAGTGGGAAGATTGCTTGAGCCCAGGAATTGGAGGCTGCAGTGAGTTATGATTACCTCACTGCACTCCAGCCTGGGTGACAGATGGGAGTTGAGAGTCTCCTAAGAAAACAAAAGAATGGAATTATTCATTATACTAAGCTGATCAGCATGCAGATTACTAAAAAATACCAATTTTGTGAGGGCAAATAAAGCTCATTATCATTTCATTCTTCTCCATCTTCTCCTCTCCTTCTGTTGTTAAGTAGTCTTATTTCACTTTCTGAGGCCAGGTATGTGTTCTGTGCCTACTTTTCATCTTTGAAGACTCGGCTCATAGACTAGTTTTTCCCCTCCTGGGTTTTCTGTGCTCTCATAGATTTAGTACGTTCATTCTGTTGCTATAATGTGTTATGATTTATTTGCAAATTAATCTTTCAGCTAAACTGTGAAATCCTTTAGAACTGGACCTTAGCCTTAGCCTCTAACACTGTGGCTAACGAAGTGAACAAACTTAAGTTTGTTTTGAAACAGACCTATTTTAGTAAAAAATTTTAAATATGTAGAATCTCATTTAGGTTTCTTACTCTTATTACAAATGTTTTGATAAACAAACCAATTTTTAAGTAACCTGATTTGGTTTTGTTACATGTGTTCACAAACTTTCATTATTTTAAAAACTTAAAAACTGTATGAGACACTTTAAACAAGACATAGAGCACTTGTTTCTTTTTTCTTTTTGAGAAACCATGTTTTATACACCAGGGACTTACATACAAATGTATACCGCTTAATGTGTGCTCACTGAATCATATTAACTTCCCCTTTTGGTGATGCTAAATTGCTACTTTGTGAGGCCTCTGGTATCAGTTTAATGAAGTATATTCTCAGGTCTCAATTTTGCTACTTATTAACTGGACCACAGAGATAGAATTTCTTCAACTATTGGGGCAATCCACTGGGGCCAGCTCTAATAGTTAGAAATTTGTCCTGCCAGTATTTTCCTGAGATAAGTTGGAAATGGTGCATGTTATTTCTTTTCACACTGCTAGTAAGAGGACTCCAGTCATCATACTGTTTGCACATTTTTCAAATCGTGTCATTAGAAATGTGTTAACTACATTGTTTTGGTTTGGTTTGGAGAATATGTGTGTGTTTAATAGATGCTAGCAAATACAGCCTTAGTATTACAGGTAAAAAAAAAAAAAAAAAGAAGAAGAAAATATTACAGGTGAAGTTATGGGGAGGAGGTCCACATCACTGGAAGGGGCAAGAGGAAGGGAAGAGAAAAGGAGAAGACGGTGAGATTTCATAACTGAAACTTCTGTTTAGACTTAAAATAGGAAAAGATAGTCATAAAAGGGAAATTTTACAAGATTATTAAATGGCTGATCCAGCAGTCAGCAGATAAGAATTCAAAATGAGGAAGGTTGCTTGTATTTTAAATAAAGTTTATTTTTTATTTTAAAAGCAGTACAATGAAATTTAACCAAATACTAAATTTAAATTTAATATTTGGTCAATATTAAAAAGTAGAAAAGTATCTTCTTAGTTTCCTTAAGGAACATAGTTCAGCTACTCAAGAGACAGTCCCTGTGAACATTTAACTGTGAAGAAATTGGTTTTTGTAATGGGACACCACAAAATAGAGAAACTTTGTGGGCGATTGACTATTTGTTCTTTTATATTTTAGTTTCTTGCTGCTGATAGTTGCTCTCCTGGCTTCTTACTCAGTCCATCTTCTGCTTAGTATGTGTATTCAGACTGGTGAGTAAAAATATGCCGTTTCATTTGATGAAGCAGTCCTTTGAGTTTGTATCTACATAAAGAATTGGATGTCTCAAACCTAATTTTCAACGGGCATATGTTGTTACTAGGTAGAGTGATTGAAATGGAGAATTTGACAAGGCCAGAATGAATGAACTCAATCCTGTGGGGGAACATCCAAGGACAGGATGGGAGGAGGAAATCAGTCTTCTCACCTGTCTTCCTCTGCCACACAACACAGTTTTCTGGGTTACAGTAGATTAGGGGAGCTCATAAAAGGTGCTTATGAGGAAGAAGTAGACCAATGTTCATTCCGATCAGATTTCTCCTGGGGTGAGCATTTGCTCAAGGAGAATACCTTCCCAGATCTATTGCTACCCTCCCTGCTCCTGCTACCCTCTGTTAGGTAGAGGTAGGGACAACAGAATGAGGACTATAGGAGGCAAGGGGCAAAGCTTTGGATTTATTTAGATATATTTTATATTTTTACTTGCAAGTCTAGGATAAGGTAGATTTCCTAAGTGGCATAGGTATGTGCAGTTAATACAATATATGTGTGTATATGTGTTTATTCCATTTGGAATTTTATTATGCAATATAGTCATGTATTGAATAAGTTCTATTAGGTTAAGTAAAAGTATATGAATTGTATAATTGCTTTTAAATGATTTTCCATTTTTCATTAATGAATATTCTATGTCTGTCAATTCTGGTCTTTTTATCTGTACAGTCTTTTATTTGTGGATTAGGTTAGTTTTGATGTCAAAATTATGGGTTTCATTCCTATATTGGTGAGTTCATTTTGCTCTCTCTGGTCTTAGGTTTTCAGAATTTCAGAAGCAGAGTAGATAAACAAATAGGTAACAGTGGGATTAGTCTGGACTGAAACAGGTTAGAGAAGCCCAAAGGCATTTCTTTAGACTTTTAAGACTCTTCAGAACATAGTTCTAAAACCACTGCTGTGTTTGTATTCCTAAAACTGGACTGCATCAGAAACACCCTTAGATCTTTTAATACACATGAATTTCTAAACATTAGGGATTTTGGTTCCAAAACCTGAAGCAGGACTCAAGAATATGTTTTTGTCAGGTCCTTTGGGGATTCTTATACAAAAGTGGTTTAGGGTCCGTGGCTTACAGCTGTAACTTGTAGCAGAGCTTTGGCCATCCAGTGTGTAATCTGGGTGGAGCTTGATGAATAAGCAGACGGATGAAAGTATTAGAAAACAGTGCAAATATTAGTCCGCAATTCAGGAATAGTAGCTTTAGATGAATGTATTTATGATTCTTGCTGAAACTTGACTGAAATTTTAATTAAATATTTTAAAATTTTGCTTCTTTGTATGAAAAAATTATTTTTAATTATGATAATTTAATATCTTAATAGATTATTTTTAATTAATTCTATTAAAAGACTAACACTTTGGTCAATTATATGGTGACTGTGTCTCCTAAACGTCATTTTAATTTTAGTAATTGTAAACTATTTTAATTATTTGGGAATTATTTGAGTATTCAACTCATAGAGATTTCTAAGTAATGTTAATTTTTTTCTTGTCTTTCAGTTCTTTCATAATATATATTTAACTTTAAGATTTGGTATTGTCTCTTGTTCTTTTCTATGACTCTGGGACATTTGAAGTGAAAACATCTGTTTCTCTTTCTTTTGCCTTTTTCTTTGATTGTTTCTTAGCTTACTTGTGTCCTTGAACTAACTTCCTCGTGGTTCTTCACACACACTGATGCACCTGTCTTCTGTTGATTGAATTCCTTCAGTCACTGTAAATTCTCTATGGAGGTAGGCTTTTCTTTTTTTCATACATAAACATTCATATATAAAAGACCAGAGAATAGCATACAGCTAATCCCCACCCCAGTGTGTTGGACTGTTATAAAAGAGTATTATGCTTAAGATTAAATTTATTAGTCAGAGAAAAAACAATCATAAGTTTTCACAAAATAACTTCCTTATTTATTTGCCTGGAGCTAAAAGAGGAAGAGAAATTTTTATCTTTATAAAAGTAAAAAAATTATTCATGTGAAATTTTTTAATTTTGGATTTTATAGAGGATTTGGGGTCTACCAAGGCATTTCATGGGAGCTGAGGTAACATATAAAGTACCTTATTTTCTCTAGCCTTAGTTTGTCATCTGTAAAATGGCAATGATAATACTTCCCTCATAGGATTGTTAGGAGAGTGAAATAAAATCACGTATAAGAAATGTCAAGTTGTTGCTAAATGGTACCTCTTATTATGAGTGCTCACTGGGGTAAATGTCCCAAGGTGCTGTACACAAGGCCATCTCAAAACAATTGGCTCTTTGCCAGTCTTCTGGAATAATTCTTATGTTCTGGACTAGACTCACAACTCTCCTCCACTGGCCTCCACATCCTTGTCACCTGGCAGCAATGAGAATTCTAGAACTCTGCAGGCTTTTGGCAGAGCTCTACTTGCTACTTCCTCATCCCTGCTACTCGCTGAGTTGCCATCATTATCTGCCTTGAGACTATCAGATTAATGCTATTATACCATTTATCTCAATTTACGTCAGTCTCTTTAAGAATCTTAGGTGATCCTTCATTTCCCAGACTCATCTGTTTTCTGACCTTATCTTCCACTGCTTTCCCATTCTTGAAACCCTTCCACTGTCATGGCTGGAACTCACAGTCAATCATCAGCAAAACCCACATGTCCTTAATTCTTTTCTAAACATTCCCTTCACTTTCTTTCTCTAAGAGAACCTAAGTCTCCTCTGAGGGCAGTGCTTCCTGTAGCTCCCTCAGGAGGCCACCCGTTCTCTTTCATGGATCCCATACTAGTCTGGTGATGGGATAAGGTGCCCTGTTCGCACCTCATTTCCACTTCTCAACTGTCTCCCTTTCCCTAAGCCCCCCAACTTTGAACTTTATAAATCTGTACCATCTATTGCTCTCCTTGCTATCATCATCCGTAGACTTCTAGACCATTTGCTGTCATTTTATGAAAATATTAGCTCTAAGCTAAATTTTAGCTCCTACTTTCCTTTTAATTTCTTCAATATTACCCCTGTCATAATTCTGGATTATTTCAATGTGCATGTAGTTAGTCCTTTTAATACTTACAGTTCCAGAACCTCTTCTTCTCTAATGATCATATTCTCTACATATCTCAGCTACTTATTTCCATGGCCAAACCATTGATTTTGTCATTACCGAAATTATAAGCTCTCCAAAATCTCATTTTCAAAACTGCCCCTTCACCCACCATCGTCTTCTGTCTTTCTAACCACCCCCTCAAGTGTTCAGACTCTGGCAGGTCTTCATGCTCAGCAGCACTTCGGCTGGCTGAGCCTCGCACCTTTGCACTGTCCGCTGCTCTCTTGTTCATGTTTCCTTCTGATACAGTTGAGTTCTGTCCTCCGTTATTACTCCCTTGCCTCTCTCTCTCTCTCTCGCCTATAGTTCCTGGCAAAATTCTAACCATAATTCTAAATATAATTCTGCCTACTTCATATAAGCAACCATGCATTTGAATATTCCTAAAGAAAAATACAGCCCTGGGGACTGATACATGGTATTGCTGTAATTCAGTGACTGATGGACTCAGGATGCTGTCACACAATCCCAGTCCACTTCTTTACTTCATTCGCTTATTCATTTCATGTAGCTCTTTCATCTGCTATCTAAGAGATAACTTTTTCATATCTTCTGTTTAACCTTCAACACATTTTTCTTGATTTCCCTCTTAACCGATATCCTCACTTTCTGTTTCACTGAGAAAACAGAAGCAATCATAAAAGAGCTTCAAGCCTTGCCGACTCTTCTGCCTACTCATCGTACCTGTGCCCATGTGCTCTGCTACTTGGGATGAACTCTGTGTGTTTACATCTAAGGCCAGCCCTTTTCTTGTGCTGTGATCTCATCTGCTCTCACTATGTCACTCTAGCCATTCTCTCTCCTCTTTCTTATTTATTATCACCTTTGTTCCTTTCTATGATTTTTCTTTTTTTCACTTTTCAAATAGTCTATAATTTGCTTTATCGTAAAAACATCTTTGTCTCCATATCCCTTCAATATGTCTTCTTAGCGAAACTTTAAAGAGTTGCCTTTACCAGATATCTCCAGTCTCCTTCCATGTAAGGTTTAACCCACTCCAGGGAGGCGCCCTCTCCTTCTACAGGTATCCCCATAGTTGCCCCTAAAGTTGCCATACATAGAGAAAATGGAAAATTGTATAAAAATGAATCATATTTGTTGCAAAGTTTTACAAAGAGGCAGCCAACATGTAGAAAATATTTTGTGAAATTTTGTAATGAATATTTTGTAAATATGAGTACATTTAGCTACAATTTCCCCGTTCCCTCTGTATGGCAACTTGAGGGGTGACTTTTGGGACATCCTATACTAAAATTATTGCAGCACTGACCTCCATATTGCTAAATCCAGAAGTCAATTCTCAGTCTTCATCTTATTTGACAAGTCAGCAACATGTGACACAGTTGATAACTCCTGCCTGAGAAATGCTTCCTTCACACTCTCCTGGCTTTCTTCCTGTTGCACTGGACCTTCCTCCTCTTTTCTTCTCCTGAGTTTTCTTGGTCTGCCCAGCCTCTGACATTGGAGTACCCCGGGACTCTTCCTCTGATCTCTTTTCTTTTCCTCATGATGACTCTAAAATTTATGTGCCTAGCCTGGAACGACAAACTTTAGTCTCATATCCCGTTGCTTTCATGACATCACTGGGATGTGTGGGACATATCTCAGGTTTGTAAAACTCCCCATCTTTATACCACCACTTTCTCCTCATCCAATCTAAGTAAATGGGCCTGGAGACCATTATGCTAAGTGAAATAAGCCAGAAAAAGAAGGAAAAATACTGTGAGATCTTACTTACATGTGGAATCTAAGTTGAACACATAGAAGCAGCAGACTAGTGGTTATGGTTGGGAAGATGCCGAATCAGAAGGTGAAGTTGTGTTACAGAGGATGTATGAGTCTCCGAATCTAAGGTATAGCGTGATG